ACCTATATGCACACTCAGGCCTACACATGTAATTAGGCTAGAATGAATCATAGCATGAAAACATCTTATTATGGAATTCTTAATTTACATGGATTTTTTTTCTTCTCTTTTACTAAAATCCTTCCTTCACTTTCCCTACATTTTCCTTCCCAACTCTTTCCCATTTTTTTTCACTTGGAAACCAATGCTCACATCTTGGTATGTAGCTTTCTGCAGCCTTCTCTATTCTCGTGAGATTATACAAAGTCACATGCATAGTCACTCACACAAAAGGATTTATTATTGTTTGCAGAAATCACAACACACATGTTTATTTAGCTGCATCTTGTTTTCTTTACTATCAGTACATTCGGAAAATTGCTCCAAATCATCTGATAAAGATCGAGCTCATTTTTGTGTGGCTATATTTTTCTGTAGGAGGACATTCTCTTTATCTCTTGCTTTTTCTTTTTCTGCAAATGATTCTGCATTGACAGCCTTAACTCCTCTCCTGTGCGACTGGTGCTTGTATCTCTTTGATAAATTCTCAGGTGTGGGGTTTCTGAGTTTGAAAGGCATGTGTGTTTTTAATTTTAATAGCTATTTTCAAATTTCTCCCACTAGTACCTCATCCTGAGTAGTTTTTGGACAACATTTCCAGTTTCTGCAATAGTTCCTGCTCTTCTCAAGTTTTCTACCTCTTCGTGAGTCAATCTCTGGAAATTATATTTTCTCAAGAAGTACTTCATTTTGCATGGATTTTCAAACTTGCTGGTATAAATTTTACATAGTGTTATCATTTTAAAAATTCCTCCTTATATCTATAAAGCTTTGAACATTGTGTATGTGTCTGGTTTCTCTGAATGTCGCTCATTAATATTTTAACTTGAAAATAGCCCAGAGACCTGAAAATTTTTGTATTTACTTATTTGGAGTTTGGAACTTAAACCTGCTTATTCCTCTGTAGCCATCATTTCCTGTGATGTGGGGGTTATGCAATATCCTCCCCTTAATAGATCAGGCACATTTCCTTGGGCTTTTATAAATTTATTGGAATTTTGGAAGTAGAAAGAAGACACTTGTTCTAAAATCATGTATTAATTTAGTCTTCTCTGAGTGTATTTCTAATAGACAAGCAGTTTTAAGAAATGCATATTTGTCAAGACAGAAAGCACTGATAGAATAAACTTCTGGGGAAATAGCTAAACAGGATAGTGGTAAATAAAGATGAAATAGGAACATGTTATATGAGACTGTTTCACATCCATTATTTCCTTTAATTCTCATAGTTGTACTGTGAGGGAACTATAAAGTCATGCCCATTTTATAGTTAAGAAAACTGAGGTAAAGACTTATCCCAAGAAGCGTAGGACCAGGATCTAAAAATCAGATTTCAAATCAGTTTCTCTGACATGCTGAACCAAATGCTGGCAAAACGTGTTTTTAAGGGATAAGTGATAAAATGAACAAAAAACTAGAAATCAATTAGTATAGCTTTAGTTGTGTGTGTTTGTGTGAGAAAAGGAGGTGTGATCTTCATCAAGTTATTTGTAGCAAGATTTGGAGGTACTGTCTTTGTTATTTCCCTGACCCGAGTAGCTGGTGTATGACTGTTGTGTCATAAACATGCATCTGAATTTTTTGTGAACTTTATGGTAATTGTCATAAATTGTCATTTAAAAAAAATTGAGAGCAAACAAAAAGTTTTCACATAGGCCAACAGAAACTTAAAAAGTCCCAAAACATTACAATAGAACTAGGCCTTTTCTATTGGCCTGAGTTTTTATTTGCATATCAAAGGGTCTGCTCTGGCTTGTGTAGGCACCATGGCATTTACAATGGTGCAGGGCTCATAAGAGTCTCTGGAGTAGCTGAGGACCCAGAACATGCAGAAACACAGAACAGCAGGGGACCACCAAGGGAGTGCATCCACAGGGGACTCCTGTGTCACAAGCCACCACTGTAGCTGTGGGCACCAGGACCTCACTGCTCTTACACTGAAGAAGTGATCTGCACTAGCCAAACAGATGCCCCTGACTCAGTCCAAACCCACAGCTCACACAGGGTCAGCGGGTGCAAACTCTGTACCCAGACAGTAAGACAGACAGTAAGACAAGTGTTGAACTCAGGGACACTCAACCATTGAGCCACATCCCCCAGCCCTATTTTCTATTTTACTTAGAGACAGGGTCTCACTGAGTTGCTTAGCACCTCCTGGTTGCTGATGCTGGCTTTGAACTTGCAATCCTCCTGCCTCAGCCTCCAGAGCTGCTGGGATGACAGGCGTGCGCCACAGCACGGGGCTGAATTGACAATCTTAATCACCTAAAGTCCAAGTTCACACAAAGTTTGGCTCATGGTGTCATGCATTCTCTGGACTTGGACAAGGATATTGTGACATGGACCATCCTCATAGTATCATACAGAATGATGTCTTTGCCCTAAAAGTATTCTGTCCTCCATCTCTTCATCCCTCCCTGCCCCCTAGGCTTTGGCAACCACTGGTCTTTTTTTTTTCTTTTTTGTAATTTGTTATACATGACATTAGAAAATATTTTGACCACTGATCTTTTGACTGACTTTTCTAATCTTGCCCTTTACAGAATGTGATGTACTTGGAATCACACAGTATGAAGTCTTTTTCAATCGGCTTCTCTCACTTAGCGACGTGCACTTAAAGTTCTTCTTTTCCTGTCTCGGCCGCTTTTGTCTCGGTAGCACTGACCTGAATTCTGTTGTCTGGATGCACCATAGTGTGTTAATCCTTCCACTGATGGACATCCTGGTTGCTTCCAGGTTTGGGCCATTATGGATATAGCTGCTATGGACAGCTACATATAGGTTTTTGTGTGGACGTAAGTTTTCAACTCTTTGCTAAGGAGCGTGGCTACTGGGCCATACAGTAAGACTATTTTTACTATATTTTACTGTAAAATGGAGAAAAATATTTGATATAGAGACCATACATTTGAGAAGGGTTGATTCCCAACACACTTAAGGAACCCAACTGAATTACGTCTTTTAAGGCTCTGTCTCCAAATACAGTCACCTTCTGATGTACTGGGATTAGGGCTTCTGCTTTGGGGGGACCCATTCAGCCCATGACAGTGACATGACAGCCCATGACAGTGACAGCCCATCCAGATTTCACGTGTCTCATCCTTTAATGTAAATCTTGCACTTCTAAGCAATATGTGGATCTTACTGAAGTCTTAGAGACACACTTGGTGCTAGATGCTTATTCTTTCATATTAAAAAAAAATAGCATTTGTTACTGAGGAAGCAGTAAGGTTTATTTTTCTACATGCTGGAATCCTGCAGAACAGATTTAATGTCTACATCTCTGTTTCCTTGGTCCAAGTCTCATATTCATAATTCCACGTGAAGTCAGGGAATCTGGGAAGGTTCGTCCATCCATCACAGAGGGAGAGGTGGGGCTGAATTTTGTCAGGCCAAAGAAAACATCCCACCCAGTGGTTTTCCTTCAGTGGAATTAAAACAAACCTGAAAATAAGATCTATCCTGAAGATCCTACCATCCACTGAGTTTACAGAAGACCTGTCAAACCCTAAACCTTACACATTCACCCTGGCTCCTGGGCCTGGTTTGCACAGTGATACTCTTGTCTTTAGGAAACTCCCCAAAGATTGTAGGGAGGATTCTCAGAGGATAGTCCCAGGAGAGAGGCTGAGAGGGGAGCTAATGAGGAAGTTAGCAGCCCCTCGAGAGGAGTGGAAAACAAAACCATTTCTTCCAGGTTGTCGGGCCAGAGGAGAGAAAGAAGGCCAAATCCTAGATTTAGAACTCTCTTGAAGGGAAGTATCTGCTGCTCCTAGAGTGACCCACACCTGGCTTTAGGATCTTGTGCTAGTGAGACCAATTGGTCTAGCCAAATACCTACTGCACTGTAGTCTATCTGCTGTAAATTTGCACATGCTCTGCCTTCAACTTCAGTAAACACACACACACCCACACACACACACACACACACACACACACACACACAGACACAGATACACACACACACACACTAGCTCAATGCACACAGAATCACAAAGATATTTTCTATGGGGATTTTAATCCCTGGGACTTGGCCATGACCACCTCCACTCACCTGGCACATATTAGGTGCTTAATAAATGTAAGTTGAATACACATTGATGTTGTTTATCATCACAATGAAGGATTACTCAACTCGTGGCACCCTAATGGGGATTATTGGGAATGAAGTCAGGGGTGAGTAAATCTCTACCTACTTAATCATAAGCCCCGTCTCTTGGCTTCAACCTCTAACACATAGCAGGAGTTTAGTGGGTATTCATGGGATCTCGGTTCCCCCGTGGTAAAAGACACAAATCCGTAGTTAGGTAGAGAGATAGAGAGGTCTGTGGGTGGACAGGGAGATAGAGGGCCACACAGGCAGGAAAGTAGGCAGGTTGATAGGTCTGTGTCTCCCCAGAGTGTTATTTTTTTTTTCATTTTTTTATTGATTGTTCAAAACATTACAGAGCTCATGATATATCATCTTTCATACATTTGACTCAATTGGGTTTTGAACTCCCCAAATACATAATGCAGACTCACTTCTGTTACATACATTTTTACATAATGGCATATTAGTGACTGTTGTATTCTGCTACCTTTCCTATCCCCTACTATCCCCCCTCCCCCCAGAGTGTTCTTTTGAGATAGTGGGAGCATAAGTCAGTAAAGACGTGAGATGCACAAGTTTCTACTGGTGCAGAGGCCACACAAGCTCCTCTTCTTTTGCCTTTGCCCAACTCCCATCTGAAAGAGGAGGGAAGCTGTCAAGATGGGAAAAACCAGGAGCAAGCCACTTTCTTTGGAATCCTGTAAAGGGAATTAGAACTTCCGCAACAGCACCAGCTTCTATGCCAAAAATCTGATTTTTTTTTTTTTTGGAGAAATTGAAGATTCATTGTACGATGCTAAATCTGGAAGGAACAGCAGGGCTCCACAACCTGCTTCTCTCTCTTCCTCCTTCCTCCCTCCCTTCGTAGGAGCCCAGGGCCCTGACAACAGATGTCCCTTCTCCCAGCCTGCAGCAGACGCCCGGGAGCACCTTGACATGGAACAACAGCCTGCTAGATTTCGAGGTCGTCTTAGAAGAAAAAGAAATGCAACCACTGTTGAAGTTGGAGAAGAAAATATTGCGTAAACAGAGACCATTTGGTGAGACCTCACTCTGAAAAAGGTCCGTAATTCAAACAAACAGAAAAAAAAAAAATCCTAGCATTTCCTCCGGAGGCTAGACTCCTTGTGAGTCATTTCTTTAAGGAGCAAAATGTTAGAATTCAGATTATCAATTTTCAAAACTGGTTCGGCATTTAGAGAAACAGAGAGTGCCCTGGTTGATGGCAGCCTTCCCTGCCATGCCCCCTTGCAGGAAAGCAGGGGATGAGGTGGTGGATAAAAGGCCTCATCTGCCTGTAAGAGAAAACCAGATTAAAAGGTGTCTGTGTCCGCAGGCCCATGGGTAGGATGGTGCTCTCAGGGTTTCTTCTTCGATGTCTATGAGACTCCATGGCTTCTAAGTGCTTGTGGGTGAGGATCGGTGTGTTTGTGGGTCTGTGCGTCTCTGTGCGTTTACTTACCTTACCTTCAGAATCTTGGGTTTTATTCGCTCTTATTTAATGCAAGAATGATAGCAGTAATTACTGAAGGTTCCTGGGGTATCAGGAAGGAACTAAATGAAAGATGGCCCCAGAGCAGCCATCTGTTCCCGGGGAGCAAGAGGGGCTGGCAGACGGGTATCAGCCCCAAGGACCAGGCTGGTGATTTGCTCTCCGTGGAGAAACAGCCCTAGTTGTGTGGGTTCACAGCCTCCCCTTGAGCAAGAGAAAGCCTGGACTGTGAAGTCGCATCCCTCCCTGAACCAGTGAAAAAGGGGCAGGTGGCAGCAGCTCTTCCCACGCAGGGGCTGGGCGTCTGGAAGCCATAGGTGTTGGAGGCAGATGCCTCTCAGTCCAGATCCTAGTTTTCCCCCACGCCAACTCTGGGGCTTTGGGCAGATTTTATGACTTCTTTCTGGCTTTTTCTTTTGGATGCAAAGTGGGTGAAGCTACTTGTCACATAAGTAGTTTCAGAAAGGGCTCAGGAGTGTGACTGGTAACCCACTCAAGCTGTGGGGTCTTGGCTGCACATCAAATATCTGTGAAACCCATCATTCCATAATCGTAGGGAAGGCAGCTAACATTTATCCAATCATCTGTTCCAAGCCCAGTGACCACTCCTCATCTTCCCAGAAACTCTATCACTAGGTCATGTTACTAACCAGACAAAGGAAACCGAGATACAGAATAATTTATCCCAGGGAATAATTAGCATTTATTAAATTCCAGACTCTTCTGCCATCTACACGTGTTCTTTAATTATGCCAACTTCTTATAAAATATGTTGCTTTCTTAATTTTAGAGAGAAAGAAAGCAAGACTTCCAAAGAGGTTAAGTAACCCGGCCAAGACTGTCCAGCTCTCTGCCTGTCTTCCTTTAAAGATTCAGAACTTTCTGGAATGCTCATCTCTGTCTTTGGGATTTTCACAAGTAAATGTCACAGGGCTCCCGACTTGACTTTATATTTTCCCAGTCAACAGAGAACTGGGGATGACCTAGACTAAATTAAAGCATGAGGCGTCCAGGGTGTATCCAGGGGGTCTGTTCTGAAGGGTATCACTTAGGTCCTTGCTGAGCGATGAGCTTCTCCATGTGGTGAGCTTCATAGAATTTCCAGAACCTGCCAAACCTTTCTCGATGATTCTTTCCTCCATTCCTCCATCCACCCAGTCCTCCCTCCGTGTCTCCCTCCCTCCCTTCTCCACCTTTCCATCCGTCCCCTATGGGACAGATGACATTATAAGTGCCATGGATCCAGCAGTGAATCAAACAGAGAAAATCTCCTGCTGCCTAGAGCTTAAGGATTTATCAGGAAACACACCTAAGATACAAAAGTCAAATATAAAGCTGTTATTTAGTCATGAGTGTCATGAAAAATAAAATAAAATGAAGGAGAAGCTTGAAATTTCAGGTGCAGTAGCCATTGAGGGCTTCTCTAAGGAGGTGACATTTGAGTAAAGATGTCAGAGGCCAGAGGATGAGCCCAGTGGATGGCCTCAGGAGGAGCAGAAGAGACAGAGGGGACAGACTGGGAAGTCCCCAAGATGGAAACTTGGGAAAGGGAGTGAACTGGGGGAGACGTACTGAAGTGATGGAGTGGCCGGGGGAAGCCAGTCTTAGACGTAGATGGCGAGAACTGAGGGTCTAGTCTGATGGAATGGAAACCTATGTGAAGACATTAAGCAAAGGCGTCTCATAATCGCACTGAGTCTTAATAGGATCATTAGTTTTAATAGAGCAATTTGAACCAGGGCTAAGGGCAGGTGCGAGGAGACCAGCCAGGAACAATATTGTAATGGTCCCACAGGGGACGGTGGTGCTCCATTGCTTGGGTGCTGAGCCAAGCTGGTGGGTGGGCTGGGAAGAGATCTCACTCCTGTTTTAAAGTAGAGGTGGAAAGACGTAGAACCTGGGAGAGGGAACGTGCTTCTTCTTATTCAGGCTCTCCTGGTGCGTAGAGAAGGGTGACAGGCGCTCTAGGTCCTGGACTCCAGTTGTTTGGGAGGATATTGCCCTGGGTAGCAATCACCAGAGAAAATTGAGGAACACTGGACAAGGGTCCACTGGGTTTGGGAGGAAGTTCGTTTGGGTTCTTCAAAGAGAAGCAGGTGCCCTGGGGGCTAGACATGCAGGTTGGGAGGAATCTTTGGGAAGGGAAGTAGTGGGAGGATGGTGGCTATGGCAAGGAGAGTCTTGAGATGGCAGGGCAGGTCTGAATCGTGCAATAGAAAGGGCAGAGGAAGGAGGGTCGGGAGCAAGGGTTGCCGACTGAGCAACAGCAGAGCTGAGAGGCATGTTTTTTTTTTTTTTTTTTTTTTGTTTTTTTTTTTTTTTTTGCGGTTGTCGCAAAGAAGATGCCCAGCGTGTAAATCAGGGAAGCCAAATTCATGTTGGTGCCTAAAGGTCAAAGGAGCATGTCAGGAGCTTAGGGAGAGTGGCCTGGAGAAGGAGGGGATGATTGAAGTTAGAAAGAGGATACTGAAAAAGACCGGCATATACTCACAGAGTCCGTGCCTGTGGTGTGCCAGGTGCATCTCGTCCAGCCCTTACAAGAACCCTATGAACAGCACCTATTACCTGTCTCACTTTTTCAAACAGGAAAACAGACGTTCAGAGAAATTAATGAGCACCAGCAGTAAGTCCTGGCTGTGACTAGGACAGCGGCATCCCAGAGTCTGTCCTCTCCTTGTGCTGGGAGCTCAGATGGCTGTCCCTTGCTCCCTGGGTGCTGTCAAAGAGTGTGGGAGGGTATTTTGGAGGAAGATCCAGGCTCAGACCACACAATTGTCATGATGCTGCTTCCTGCTCAGAACTTTCCTTTGGTGGCTTCGATACAGCATGACAACTCTCTGAACTTTGTGGAAACGAGGTTAGAAGGCTGTATTCACCGCTCTGTGGGAGTAGGGATATAAATCTGGGTTCCTATTTTTGAGGGGGGTCAAAGGGTATTGGTGACGGAGGGTAAGGTGGTGGTTGGCTGTAGGTCCAGTGGGATCTAGCCCCACTCCAGACTCTGATAGGGCCACTTAACGAGGACGGGGAAGGACTGCAGCTAGCTTAGCTTCCTCTCCATCGGCAGGATTTCATCCATATTGGTGTTCAATCAATGTTTACCGAATAATTATTTTAAAAAGTGTTTTAACAAATACATGCATTTCAAAGAGTGATCAGCTCATGTGCTTGTACCGAGAAGGAGAGTTTTTGCTGAAATCTCTCTCTCTCCATCTCAAGGACAGACAACAGGAGCAATGATGTCGTATTCTCTCATGCTCATCCAGTCTGCTGGAACTCACGGGCCTCGGGATTCCTTTTTTTTTTTTTTTTTTTTTCAGTGAGGTCAGAACACAATACATCACCCTAAAATTTGTGGCTGAAAACCGTAACCATCCCATGGTCTCACATGTCTCTGTGGCTAGTCAGAAGGGCTGAGGTCAGCTGGCAGCTTGCCAGGGGCTGCCTGGCATAGGAGGGTCTCATTCACGTCTGACAGCTGGCTCAGTGTCAGCTGGACTTGACTCAGCCGTGTGACCCTCCTTATCTAACAGGCTTAGCGCCACGGGAAGTTCATGTAAGCACGGCCACAGGGTCCCCACAGCAGCAGGCGTGCAGATCCTAACATGTCAGCCCTCTCTGCTGGCCTGGTACACCGGCTGATGCCCCACGGGCCACGCACGTCACATGAGCAAGGCCAGGCTTAATGATTAGAGGAATAAATTCCCTCCTTATGGGAAGAACTGCAAAGCCGTCTGGTAAAGAGAAGGCTCTCTAAGCGTGGGAGACATTTGAGGCCACACCACAGGGTCCCTGGATCTAGTCATCAGCAACAGCCCCTGCGCGAGGGCACTCTTTCTTCTTTACGTCATTTTATTTGAAGTTTCTTGACAAGTTCTGCGCTCATTTTTCCATTCTAGTCTGTTCTTGAATTTGGGGACATCCGCTCTGAATGGGCCAGACTGGGGATTCTTCTGGACATGGCTTTTGTAAAGTCTTAAGTCTTTCCACCATGAGACCATTGCTTCAGCTTCCATCCGTTTGTCCATGCATCCGTCCATGCATCTGTCCACCCATCCTGGATTCCATCCATCCACGTGGGAAATGTTGAATGAACGCTTCACTCCTGCTATGCCTGGCCGAACCCCAACAATCAACAACTGTGACTGGTAGAGCCAATGAATTCTTGCTTAGTGACGCCCCGGGCAGTTGAAAGGTAGCACACCGCAGCCATAGAGCGTAACTCTGGAGCCATTTATCGTTGGGTTCAAATCCACTTCCGCCATATACCAGCCATGTGGCCTTGTGTGAGTTGTTCAGCTCCAACCTCAGCTTATCCACCTGCAGGGTTAGTGACGGTGCCTACATGGTGGGATCACTGAACACACACACATACACACACACACACACACACACACACACACACACAGTGAGAGAGGGGGAGAGAAGGGTTCCTGGGGTTCCTGGCTCATCTTAATCTCATTGTTTTGTAATGTTCCCGCTTTATTACCATCACAAATTCTGTTGATCCAAAAAGACAAGGTCACTGCTCTGCTAGAACCTCCATTTTTGAGGATTGGACAGACAGTTA